CTGGCTCCACTGTGCAGTGCCCACCATGGACCCAGTATGTTAGAGTGAAAAATTCCGGAATGGTACTGTGCTATATAATATATATATATATATATATATATATATAATGCATATTTGTATGTATGTGTCCATGTCATATGCTTCCCACAGCAGTCCCGGTTTTCCACACTGCACTGCGCGGCTTTCGCAGCTAGCACGGTCGTTGGCCCGTTAACTGAGTTAGCCTTGTTAGTCGTCGCTTTCAGCCATGCAACATGCTTGATGAGATAATGACTGTGGGCGTGTTCTGAGTGCAGATAACGTTTTGATCCGCGCTGATCAAAGCCTGGAGTCATGCGCCACGACCGCCGCCTGTAATGGCGCTTCTAAACGTGAAGTCAGCAGCGGTCACCAAGTGGCGCCCCGGTGGTTCAAGGCATAGGTTAAGTTCAAATAGGCTAGGTTCATATGTTCAAGGTTAGGTTGAACTAGCCAGACATCCAAGCACCTATGGCGTTAGGATGTCTGGCTAGTTCGCGTAGTTCTGAGCCCACATTATTCTGAGCCCGACCACACGGCGTCTCGGCGCTCCCATCGTTGTAGCGAGCCTGGTGGTCCATCTGCGCGAAGGCACCAGACCGCCGGAACGGCCTTTGTCATCATGCCATGCCGCTGCTGTCCTGTCGCATGCCTCCGACAAGCGTCACAGCCGTGTCCTGGCCGTTGCAGAAGACGGATCCGGACGGTGGACGGCCGAACCCCGCCCACGGAGACGGTTGACGGTGCCGCCATCTCGGGCCACAGCCTGGACGAAGTTCTCCGCCATGCCGGCCGATGAGGGTGTCCGCGGCGCCGCCGGCTGCGACCGGGCCGAACACGGCCGGCCGGGCGGACGGCTCCAGTACCAGTCAGGTCAGTGGGGAGTGAGAAGGGCCCCCGGCCGCGGTCCAGCTACGGTCCCAGTCAGGTCAGAGGAGTGGAGCAAGGCTCCCGGCTGGTCAGCTCCGGTCCCAGTCAGGTCAGTGGGGAGTGGGCGGGACTCCCCGACCAGCCAACTCCGGTCCCAGTCAGGTCAGAGGGAAGTGGGCAAGGCTCCCGGCTGGTCAGCTCCGGTCCCAGTCAGGTGAGAGGAGAGTGAGCAGAGCTCCCCGGCCGATCAGCTCCGGCTCCAGTCAGGTGAGAGGAGAGTGAGCAGAGCTCCCCGGCCGGTCAGCTCCGGTCCCAATCAAGTCAGAGGAGAGTAAGCAGAGCTCCCCGGCCGGTCAGCTCCGGTCCCAGTCAGGTCAGAGGAGAGTGACCAGGGCTCCCGGTCGGTCAGCTCCGGTCCCAGTCAGGTCAGAAGAGAGTAAGCAGAGCTCCCCGGCCGATCAGCTCCGGTCCCAATCAGGTCAGAGGAGGGTGAGCGTGGCTCCTGGCCGGTCAGCTCCGGTCCCAGTCAGGTCAGAGGAGAGTAAGCCGAGCTCCCCGGCCGGTTAGCTCTGGTCCCAGTCAGGCCAGAGGAGGGTGAGCAAGGCTCCCGGCTGGTCAGCTCCGGTCCCAGACAGGTCAGAGGAGAGTGAGCGTGGCTCCTGGCCAGTCAGCTCCAGTCCCAGTCAGGTCAGAAGGGAGTGAGCAGGACTCCCCGGCCGGTCAGCTCCGGTCCCAGTCAGGTCAGAGGAGAGTAAGCAGAGCTCCCCGGCCAGTCAGCTCCGGTCCCAGTTAGGTCAGAAGAGAGTGAACAGGACTCCCCGGCTGGTCAGCTCCGGTCCCAGTCAGGTGAGAGGAGAGTGAGCAGAGCTCCCCGGCCAGTCAGCTCCGGTCCCAGTCAGGTCTGAGGAGAGTGAACAGCGCTTCCGGTCGGTCAGCTCCGGTCCCAGTCAGGTGAGAGGAGAGTGAACAGAGCTCTCCGGCCGGTCAGCTCCGGTCCCAGTCAGGTCAGTGGGGACTGAGAAAGACCCCCGACTGGTCAGCCTCGCTGCTGTGTGCGGGTGGCAAATTCACGGCAGGTCGGAAAACATTCACAGCAGGTCGGAAAACGTTCACAGCAGTTTGGAAAGCACTCACAGCACGACGGAAAAGCTAATATATGCGTTGGCATGAAATGCACGCAAGTTAAACAAGCTGGAAAATATATTTGTTGTGCTCAGCGTACACTATCCTTCTCACCGTCAATCTGTGAACCAGAAAGCAACCTGGAAGATGATAACAACTCGGAGACTGCAGTGAACTGACGCCATTGAAAAGCGACGATCATTCATGTTGATGGCGAAGGAAGTTCTCGAAGTTGAATTCGCGTTGACGGAAAGGCGATGAAAAGCACAATCAAGTACTTAATTCTCCGGAGCCGACCCGTTATGCAACGTCAGAGTGTATCGAAATGCGAGCGAGCGGTGGTCGTTCCATGGGTCTTCGGTTGAATTCGGGGCGGAAGTGAGCAGCTGGCCTTTTTTTTAGAAAAAAAATTGATGAAAATCGTTATCCATTATCCGATGGCGGCTCCACAAATACATTAATCTGTACAAGCTCAACAAAATGCAACGCAAGTGAGGAAAGCTAAAAACCTTAGCATGGTTAGTCTTATGAATGCATCACCGATAGGCGTGTTTCACGACGCTTCGAGTAAAATGGGTGTAAGTGTTACGTCGTCGAGACAATCACGAGCACCGTCCTATATTCTGATCATTTCGTTTTTACTGGCTGCTCAGTTCCGTTGGCCTATTTAGCACTTATTTACCCATTTGCATATGACGCACACGGTTGGAATGCGATCAGCTCGAACATTCTGGGACATAGAAGTGAGTACTAGCGATCATACTATTTGCGTTCCAAGCACGCACACTTGCACATTTGCGTTGAGCAAACACTTGCAAACGAACGCCTCCTTACGCACATATGGCCGCACAGTCTGTCTCACGAGGACTTTCCGGCACACAGTTTCACGAAACTTTTCCGTACATTATGTTAGATGTGTATAAGGCATGCACCGAAGGTTGAACCAGTTCATGGTTTTCCTTGTTTCGCGTACACACGCCTGATGGCCAGAATACCGATTTCAACGTCGTTTTACGGAGACGAAATAAATCATTTTCAGAAACGCAACCGTCAGACGCCATTTTCCCTGCTCTCGCATTCTCCGTTGCCTCGAGGCCGGCGCTACCAATGGCGCTTCATCGCATTCGAAATACGTGCCTACCTGTCGCACCTGTAGGACAGTCTCTGACATCGCGTCCGGGGTGAGTGCGCCGCACCCCTGCGTTGGCGGCATCCGGCCGGACGGCGGGCCGAGGCTGGACCCTCGTGTTGCGTCACGGGTCAACAGGTGCCGGGGTGGCGGCGGCGGCCCGCCACAGACGCGGTGGGCCAGTGCGTGGGTCGCGGGCGGCGGTCGCAGGTGCGCGCTGTATGTCGGAGTGTGTATCGGCCGCCGGCGCGCTGTTCGGCATTTCGAGGTCTGGCGTGTGCTCGGCGACCGGCCGGTGACCGGCTGCAGCGGGTGACGGTGCTGCGGACTGACGGGACGGAGCCGGCGTGGTGCCGATCAGCCGCGTGCGACCGCGCGTCGCTGGGGTGCGTCAGTGCGAGGGAGTGTACCGGTGAAGGGTGGCCGGCGCCACCGCGGACGCCGAGCCGCCATGCCCGTCCGCCGCTGGATGAGGAGCCGCCGGAAGGAGTACACGTCCAAGGACAGCCTGGTGGGTGCACACCGACCCCGCCTAGGGAGGGGGGGGGGAGCGCGTGTCTACCGGGGACACAGCCGGCCAGGCAGGCTCGCCGCCGCCTGCACGTGACCTGCCGCGCCATGCGCTGGCTCCGGCCGGCGTCCGGCGCGCGGCCAGCAGGGCCACGAGGGGCCGCTGCAGAGGCTCCGCCGGCGCGAGCGGCCGGCGCCACGCTCGGGCCGCCGGCCCTATCGTGGCGGTCGCTATCATGCCCGGTATGCGGCCGTCTGGCCGGCCGCTGGCCGTGGCTCGGCCCGCCAGCGCGCGCTCTGCCGCCAGCGTCGCCGGCCGGCCAGGGCGCCGCGCCCGGGGAGGCCCACCGACCAGGGCGCCGCGCCCGCGGTCCCACCGACCAGGGCGCCGCGCCCGGCGAGCCCCAGCGGCCGGGGTGCGCGCTCGGCGGGCCCCAGCGACGCTGCCGTCCCGCGGCGTCGGGCGCCGGCCAGGAGCAGGCGTCCCCGGAGGTCACGTTTCTACGACGTATGGTTGGGCGCCGGGAGAGTTAGTGAGGCCGGCCCAGGGGCAATCACTGGCGTGTGATTGAGCTCTGGCGTGTGGATCTGGCACCCTTTGAAGGCCGCGCGCTGCTTCTCTCTGCTCGACAATTTCCTTGGCAGAACTGCGTCGTGGCATCGCATGCTTTAACTTAAGGGACAATTAGGCGGTGGGCGCGGAAATGATTTCAAAATCGGGCAGTGAAGTGCCTCACAAAGGGCCATGGGTGGGTGCATTATGATGGCCTTTTGTGTGTCATCATGCATCACAGCGTTGAAAATCACAATTGGTGCGTTCCAAGCCCTGCGAGTCGAACAGCCACCGTAACTAGCCCTCCGTCCATCTCCTAGCGCTATGCATCACCCTGAGCCCTGATGATGAGGGAGGGATAACGCAATCCTGGCTGGACGCAACCGCGGCATCGATTAGGGCCAGGCTGGCCAGAGTTTATGTGCACAAGGTTTTCCCCTGGATGGAGATGGAATCTGAGATCCGCGGCTGCGACAGGACCACGACAACGAAGGGCACGGGCGGGATGCATGAATGCGCTCTTGAACGGTAGGCACATGCCTACTTGCAATGCAGCAGACATTGCTGCAAACATAGCTCCGTGATGACGCATACATTGGTCTGTGTCGCCTCATGCAAGCGTCAAGTCATACCTCCACCAGCATGAACAATACACTGTGTCATGGCATACTTATGGTTGACACCGGGGGAGTTGGAATTGACCTCGAAATGTGTTGAAACAGGGGAATCTTCCTTTTTCTCTTCTGAGTTGGAACTGGAGTTTTGGCGAGTCGACTCAATTGTAAATGATTGGGCACACGCAACTGGGCATATTTAAAGTGTAAAGAAGTGTGGCAGATCCTGTGTGCACGAAATGCAACAGGATCGTATAAACCGGCTTATTGTTGTCAAAATTAATATCTATTGTTGCTTTCATGAAGGCCATAAATAGGGTTATCTCCCAAACTACTGTCTCAGGAATTGCCTCCATCACAACTGATTTCAGAACTCACCCATTTCTCAAAAATCGAAGTTGGGGGCGAGTCAAAGTTGCACTGGGCTTCGCTTGGCGTGACACTTGAACCAAGCTCATGTGTTGCGATTCAGGGGAGTCAGAGATGAAAACGATTCGGGTAAAGCAGGATCCAGGACAAATGTTTAGTCACAGGTTTCAAGACGTGTGTCCGTTACCAGCTCTGAGCCCGGGCAGGGCGCGGTCTGGACGGGTAAAGTTCGTGGTGGGCTTTGATGAATATGACTCCATCCGCCCCGGCCGGTCCGGTCGGCCCGGTCCGGCTCACTCTGGCCGGTCCCCATCTGATCGGGCCCAGATAATGTTCTCCGGCGGTGCCCGTCTTCTTCTGTTGCGGCCTGTCCTGCTGCTGTCCGTTCTGCTGGCCTTTTCGCTGCCGTTGTTTCTTCTTACCCGCGCTGTCCCGTTATTCATGGTTTCGCTGCCCCGCATGCTGCGTGTGTCGTCAGCCCTCCTGACCTCTGCCGTGTCGTGGATGGTTTTGCCCACCGGCTCGTCCCTCCTGTTGTCAGTTTTCGTGGCCTCCTCTCTTCGGCCACAGCCGGTACACCCTGTGAGCCACTGTTTGGTGCTGGCAGCAGTCTGGCTGACCCGCCAGTCCTCCGCCTCCGTCCGTGCCGCTGACGCCCCCTGCGGCGCGCCGCCCGCTCCGCTGCGGTCGCCCCATGTGCCGCCTGTCGGTCGAACAGAGCGGCGGTGCCTCGCACCGCGGCCACCGCGCGCACCCCAGGTATCGCGTTACGGCGGCAGGCCGCGGGAACACGAGCTGGCGCCCAGGCGCGCGCTGCGGATCGATCTGCTCTGTAGCTGGCTCGCTCTCTGACGAGCGCTGATGACATGAGCGCTGGCCGCCCATAGGCTTGACGGCGGGCAGTTAAGGGCTGCCGGCTGGGTCGCAGGCGCGCGGTCACAGTCAGAGGCTGGAGGGGAGACCGGAGCGGCCCGTGCTGACGTTTTGTGACTCGCGACTGGAGACTTGGCGCGAGGCATCCCCGCGGCATATCGGGCATCAGCACGCCACTGTGCGTCGACCAGCCCCACTTAGAAGTGAAGCTTAGATACAAACTGATCTTAGCTCCCAAGGGACAATGAATAACCTTTCGAATAGGCTGCAGTTTTCCTGCACTGGTCTGGCGACCCGCTCGCCTCTTGGTTAGTGTAGCCTCGCACACCTGGCGACATTTTCCGTCCCAAGTCGCCGGCATTCCGCGCTTAGTCATGCTGGGGGCCAGGAAAGCCACCACAATGACTGTGGCTCTGCGTGCGGTCCCAGCTCAGCGCGCCCGTCGTCTCAAAGTCTAGATCTCCAGGTATGGGCAGAGTCGTTCCGGGCAGCGCTGGCCTGCGCCGTCCGATCGGGGCGGTGGGGCAGGCGCCGCGGCGCCGCCCGCCCGTTCCCGGCCGGGGGCCGGCGCCCCGTCTGGAGCACGAAGCGGGCGCCCCCCCCCCCTTCCCCCCCGTCCTCCCCCCGTCGGCTCATGTTCCGCCTGGACGCCGCTGACCTGGTGGTGACGGGGGATGGGGGCTGGCGGCTGGTGGCAACAGCAGTGGTCGCACGATGGCATCTGATCTGGCACCTTGATCTGCCACCTGGCGGGCAGCCATCGAGGTCAAAGGACCGTTCTGGCCCATGTCGTACCCCGTACGCAGATGGAGCCGGTCGTATGCCCCCCCCCCCCTTCCATCTTTTTCAACCGAAACATGGGTCTAGGGAGGTGTATAGAAGAAATTGTTCACTTTAAACAATTTCCCTATTGTACTGTAATGTCTTCGTACTGTAAATTGCATAGCAGATTTCGTAAATGCCACTAACATCCGGTCACCTTTAAGGTGACCATTGATGCAGTGATGTGACGTGCCTTGTCAAAACTTTCAGAAGCTCAAAACATAGTGTCAGCATCGCCTACGTGCAGCGCGGCTCGTCATCAGTCGCGGCCATGCCAGGGCAGTGTAGGGTGAGCACAACCGACGGGTGGAGACGTTGACCTGTGGCGTGTTCTTTTTCCAGCTGAACGGCGACGATGACTGGGTGTATGAGGAGGTGGCACTCTGGCGGGGCAGCCAAGGCCTGGGCTTCAGCATCGCCGGGGGCCGCGACAACCCGCATGTCGGGTCAGTGCTCGCCGTCTCCTCGTGCTCGGATGTCTCCCCGTCTTCGTGTCGCATCAGTTATAGCGCACAGACGCCAGCCATGTCTGATGTTGACGTCCCTTCTCGCACCCTGCGATCTGTTTGCGCGCGAACTGTGATGCCCAAATGTGTTAGGTTGCTCCGTCACTGTCAGAGCCGGTGACGGATCTCGTCACGGGTCGTGACGGCCTGTGACGTGAGCCTCGGCGTTTGACCTGTTCTTTCGTGATATTTCTGGCCCGCGGCCGTAGTTTCGAAGTGTCGTATTCATGCACAGTACAGCGCGTGGGCGGGGGTGGCTCGGTGTAAGTGCTCGAATTTACAGTCCTGCATTCGCAAGCCGCCAATACTCTTCAAAGACACTGACCGTAATCTCAGCTAGATCAATATCTGCATCGTTTCTGAGCGAACTTAGTCTGATGCAGTCGCGAGCTGATTCGGTCTGATAATGTCACCAAGCTGAGTTAACTCGGTGAATCTCATCTAATGGGACCGTTGCCTCCGGCTAAGAACTAGGTCTTCAGGGCATTTTTGTGACAACACGAACCGGAGATTCGCTATTTGCTCCCGTTTCCCCTCTATTTGCTTCTCCGCGGTTTGCTGATTACACGCGGGGTGGTTTGCGTTGTATTCTTTAGTAAGTGATCGGCCGCCGCTGCTACGATGCCAAAAACTTTCGATGCTTACTTAGCTACAGTGTAATCGTTTCCAAAAACTGCATCATGTCGACTGATAACTGGCGAAACCGCACCGCCCAGACCCCAGTCAATGAGACGGCGTCGAGAAGTCCGCAGCTCCACAGGACCGCAGCCCAGCTGGCGTGAGCTGCTCAAGTGCAGCACCATCACGCTTGTGCTCTCCCACTCGTCTGACGTTAACCTGCATCCGACGCCTCCCGTACTTGACCTGATCCCGTACCCGACGCCACCCCGTACCCAGCGTAAACCCCGCTCTTGACGCCACCTCAGTAGTGACGTCACCCTGCGTCTGACGTCACCCCGCTCGTGACGTCAACCTACGCCTGACGTCACCCCGCGCCTGACGTCGCCACCGTATCGCCAGGGACGACCCCTCCATCTACATCACCAAGCTGATCCCTGGCGGCACAGCGGCCACCGGCGGTCAGCTGAGAGTCGGCGACATCATCGCCCGCGTGAACGGCGTCAGCGTGGCCAACGTCACCCACGAGCAGGCCGTCGACGCCCTGAGGAAGGCCGGCACCAACGTCCAGCTGGTGAGGTCCGGGGCATGACCGGAGGCTCCATTGATGATGGTGATGCTCTACTGCGAAGCAAGACTTCTCTGTATTTGTCCTATCTTGTTTAGTTCTATTTCCCTTCGTTTGTTGTCGCTCCCCTTTCACCACGCGCTCGCCCTCTTGAGCTCCTCCACATTTTGGGAAGGCGCACGCTCCCACGAGCACGAGCGCTGTTTGGCTCGCTACCATCAAGTGTTGAAACAGCATAATTATGCCACGCTACGCGGGCGTGATTGATGGTGCGTGCGTGCCAATGGACGTAAAACGTGTCAGATGTCGTTTTCGCTGGAATTGTGGTGTCTTGGGATTATCTGAAAAATTAGATTCCGTTGAAATTTGATTAGGGGTGCCACTTGGCATTATTTAAAGTGCGAGTTTGATTTAATTTCGCATTCATGCTTGACATCATGTTGAAGTATGCCGAAGCGTATCTTCGCATAATACACTCCGTACTCGGTGAATTGTCGACCACAAAAATAGCAAAACAGCATTCTGTATCAGTCATGTGTCACACGGGCGTCGCATGGAACTATAAAGATGGAATTTCTGGGTTTTTTGTTGTTTTTTTTTTCTCTCGTGGTTTCCTGTGACGTTGTGTACCGCTGCTGAGCAGCCTGGGCCAGCTGTTGCGTGTGGTCACTGGCGGTGGTGCGCGCTCGCTGACCCGAGCCCGGCCGGCGCGGTGCCGGCAGTCGGTGAGGCGGCGCCGGCAGCCGCGGTCCGAGTACCTGGTGCAGCTGGAGCTACACAAGGGTAGCCGCGGCCTCGGCTTCAGCATCGCCGGCGGCACCGGCAACCAGCACATACCGGCCGACAACGGTAACCAAGCTGATGAGGGTGTCACCCGATCTCGGTGGACGAGGCTGATGAGGGTGGCACCCGATCTCGGTGGACGAAGCTGTGGATGATGACATCCGATCTCGGTTGACGAGGCTGATGAGGGTGGCATCCGATCTCGGTGGACGAGGCTGGGGAGGGTGGAATCCGATCTCGCTGGACAAAGTTGGGGATGGTGGCATCCGATCTCGCTGGACAAAGTTGGGGATGGTGGCATCCGATCTCGCTGGACGAAACTGGGGATGGTGGCATCCGATCTCGGTGGGCGAGGCTGGGGCGGTAGGGTTAGCCTCGAGAGCGCCGACCAAAGACCGCAGCAAAGCACGTGACTTGAGTGTGCCTTGCCGCTCGAGGCCGGCTTGGGCGGGTTTCGAGTCGGTTTCCCGTGGCGTGTGCCGGGGTCCGGAGTGCCTGTCGGCGCCGGCCGAACGCCGACCGTCACCGACACAGCTCGGCTGCAACGGCCGGCCATATCGCTCAGATACGACACCGGCCGACAGATAGCCGTGAGTCATCGGCCACTGCTGATACCGCCGCTGGTAGAGGCGCGGAGCGACATCACTGATAGCACGGTGACGTCGCCTGTTCCTGGTGCTGTCTCTCCGACCACGTGCGGCCATATCGAAACCTAACGGGCCATTACAGAGCTCCGTGGTGGAAGGAGCACTTTTACTGTAAATGCCTACCGCGCTTGTGGCCCGTGCCGTTGCGAGATGGTGGCTGACGCGATCAACGGCGCCCGTTCCAGGCATATACGTGACGAAGATAATGGAGGATGGCGCGGCCTACCAGGACGGCACCATGGCTGTGGGGGACCGGCTGGTGGCCGTGGACGCCGGGGTACGTCGTGCCTGCCCGCCACCCTTCACGCGGGCGAGCGGTGCACGTCTCCGCCGCATCCCTCGCAGAGGTCGGCCGCGCGGACGAGGCCCATGGCCCGTCGCTACATTGACCTGTCCTGTCCCGCGTCGCTCGTTGCCGAGCAGTGCTGACCTCAGCTTGCTTGGTGTGGCGGGACGCCACCACAGGCGGAGCAGGCTGTCTACTCTACGCTAGAAAAGATTGGGCATTCGTTCCACTCTCTCTCGTCGCTGGCTGAAGTTGATGTTGGCTCCATTTCAAGGACTAGAATTATGCTGTAACGTTGAAATTAACTGCTCTCGCCTCGAGCAGCGGAATCATTTGTAAACGCATGTAAATTGTAAACGCATGCAACGCATGTAAACGCATGTAAATTTGAAGATCATTAGCGTGGGGACCCTTCAACGTTGCATGTGACGCGAGAGTGAGAGCTGGGACGAGAAGCTCGCCCCGAGTTCCTGAATCGAAACCTTTCCTTCAAGATGTTCGAGGCCTAGCAACTGCACCGCTGGCCGGCTTCACTCCCCTAATGTGATAATGCTTTACGGAGTAGAAACCGACATCAGTCCATTAATTAATTGCACCATTAGGTGTTAGTGCGGTCACTTTCTTGATCACACACTTCCATTAACGGAGTATAACGGAGCAGCGCCGACCACAAAACGAGCCACCGCCTGATCTAAGTAGGAGGGCCTAGCGGAAACCGATTGGCGCGAGTTCAGCAGGTGTGAGCTAGCTGCGTCATTGATGCAGTCTGGTACTGTCGCATTCGCCGCCCACGAAACATGTTCAGGTTATTAAGTGTGCTAGCCTGACTAGTTGCCAGGGCAGTAACTGATTAGTATGTATGTCTGCCGCCATTAAAACTCCTGTTTGCTTGTTAAAAGTCTATCAACTGTCATGCAAAGTATGACATACGTGCCCCTACCTTCAGTACAGCGGATAGCGGATGAAGACTTCTGGCTAGGAGGCCATGGGGCGAGCGGCCCAGCATTGTCGTCCGAACGAAACTATTTTAGCTCCCGCTGGTCGCTTAGCCACCTTTTATCATCATTTCCGGCAAGAGGGCCGCGATGAGGACATTTCCGGCCGGGCCACGTCAGCGCCTTACGCGCTCTGCCTGGCCGGCTTTACGGACCACGGCGGGGATCAGCGCGATCACGCGTTATCGGCAGGTCGTCCTCTGGCGGACAGCCTACCGACGATTGAGTCCTCTGACAGAGCCGTCGTCCTGATGATTGGGCGGCTGTCGCGGCTGACGTCTCACCGACCGGCTCTTGCAGCGGGGGGAGCGGCAGCTGCTGAACGTGACGCACGAGGAGGCGGTGGCGGCGCTGAAGGCCGTCACCGACCGCGTGGTGCTGACGCTGGCCAAGCACGACGGTCGGACGCCGCCGCCGCCGCCTCTGCCGCCGCCAGTCGCAGCCGTGGCGCGCCAGCCGCCCGGCGGCGACTCCGGCCACGACGCCACCAACGGCGCCGCCACCTACGGCCTGCTGGACGGCCACACACCGCCGCCGCGTGAGTGCCCCGCTCGCAGTCACATCACGAGTGCGTCACACGGAGTGCCCCGACGTCACGTCACGTTTGGTGGCGTCACGCCACTGTCGGTGACATCACACTCGTGCCATACGCCCCTGGGTGTTATCGTTAGGGGGGGGGGGGGGAGGGAGGTGTGCATTCAGGACTGTTCACAGGCATTGGCTTGCCTCGTCGAGCATTCCGGTGATTTGGGCGTGACTTGTGCGACATCAGTAATCCACAAATAGTGTGTTCAATTCACATCGCTGATAGATTCGGGCTGAGCGGGAACGCCGGGCTCGGGTCCGCGAACCTGCTCCTGACAGTGGCGGAATTGCTTTGGAGGGGGGGGGGGGGGGGGGGCTCCAGAATTACGACTGTGAAGTGTGCCCAACTCGCGCGGCCCGTCTCGTTCCGAGTAGACCCCGCGGCCTCGCTGTGGTCACGAGCAGGAAGCGGGCCGAGGCCCGCTCGGACCCGCCTGAACGTGAGGCCGATCAGGAGGCGATAGCTCCGCGGCTCTCAGGCTTCCCGAAGTCAGCCAGTCAGGCATCAAGGGTGTAGACTGGAATGCCTGCTGTTAGACTTGTCCCACCACAGGTTTGAGCGATCGCCGCGGGTCGCAGAGTGACCTCTTCCCGCTGATTGCCTGGGGTGGCCAGACCCTCGTGGGAAACGTTCTCTCTTCAACGGCGATTGGCTGGTCTCAAGGGGAATGAGGAGCAAGATGGCATGAAAGTCTGGGAGAAGGTCTAGAAGGCACCAGAGGCTGCAAATTTGAAAGCTTATTGATTGATTTAGTTATTTATTTATTTGACCCCACTCGACACTCCACGTGAATACCTGGATATTACGTGTCATTGGTCTGAGAGATAAATCAGTATATCAAAAAAAAAGAACGGAGAGTGATAAGGAATGAAAAACGCACAAGCGCATGCACGCATAAAGAGAATGAGACTACCCTATCACACAAAAAGGACCTGGCAGCGCGCTCAAAGCTTCTGGAATTCCGTCGCCGAACATCCACAGGCATTTCACTAATGAGAAACGCCACTTGGTAGGTAAAGGACCGCTGTCCTGCCGCCGTGCGCTTTGCTGGGAGGTGCAGGTTATGGTCCATGCGGGTAGTTCGGTCACTGGTCCACGCGTCAGCGTATTCTTGAAGTAAACAGGCAAGGCCCTCAGGTCCGCCTCGCTCACGGGCTTTTTGCGCAGCAATAACAGTTTTTACGTTACACATTTGGCGAGGCGTGGCAAAGTGCAGGTTATCCCGCGCGCGAGACACGTGGTCATGCTTTCGTAGGCCAGTAGCTACTCTGGTAGCGAAGTTAACTGCTTTAAGCAGTCTGACCTCGTTAGTAGCTGACCCCTGGTCATAAACCAAAAAGCGGTATCTCGCACGCAGACTCATATTTTTGCATATTTCTCATCCAACTGTACGTCTCTGGAAACACTGATACCACTAAAATTCAGCTGTGACCTGGTGTTACTCCCGTCACATGTGGCGGTGACCTGATGTCACGGTCATAGCCCGCAGCCATAGCTCTTCCTTGACACGGCACTCGTGACAATTGGCCGTGACCTACCGTCACATCCGTGACCAGTGTGACCCTTGACCTGCAGCCGTGACCTGAGCCCCTCTGTGCCCTCTGCCCGCAGCGCCGCTCGACACGTCGTCGGCTTACAACGAGCCGTACAACATCGCCACGCCGAGTGTCGTCAGTGTGGAGAACGTCGCCAGGTGGGTGGAGCCGCCGCCAGGACAGCAGGCACACCGCCCTGGCGCCGCCGAGACAGCAGGCACACTGCCCCGGCGCCAACGGGACGGCAGGCTCACTGCCCCCGGCCGCCAGGACAGCAGGCACACTGCCCCGGCGCCAACGGGACAGTAGGCACACTGCCCGGCTAGCCCACTGCAGGCATCCTCTCGGGGTCTGACTCGCATGCAGTCTACCTCTAGACCCCAGCAGTTTTAGAGCGGCCGGAGACGGCCAGGAAGCGGCCAGAAATGACCGGGGCAGGTCAGAGGACGGTCGGGGATGACTCAACAGCGGGGGGGGGGGGGGGGGAAGCGGGACGGGTCTATTTCCTGATGTAACGCGCTGCCCCAGGTCAAGACGCCATTTGTCCAAATCTCACCGTCACACGCCTGTCCTGACCGTCCAGCTGATGGTACGCCGTGTCTGGCGGTCCTCGTTCCTCCATGGAGCTCGTGTTGGTGCCCCGGTCTGGCTACCCTCGTTCCCGGCCGGCCCTTTGTCAGTGTAATGACTCGAAGGACAAGACGTGGCGATACTGTTGGCACGCTATTGTCTCCTTATCGGGCGCGCCCCAGTGAGCGTGATTGGGTTTGTTTTGATCGCTGCATGCGGCACCGACCTTGGACGCGTCTGCGGCAACACCATCGCCATCTCGCGCGCGTGGCGCAAAGCTCAACATTGGCTGAATGCCGTCATGTCTGGTCTCGCTGTCCCTGCTGGAACTGGCGGCAGGAAGAGACAGTGAGCTGCATGGTCACTAGTTCGGCCAGATCGTGGATTCTGCGCCTGCTCTAGAACAAGAATTCAGAAACGGCTAGATTCAGGTCACGTCTCATGGTGATGGTTCCATAATGGTCATAAACTGGACTGACCCAAATTGCATCATAACCCGTCAAGCGACTTTGGGTGCCTAGGAAGTGATCGGGTTGCACCAACCCTTCCCGTACGCTGCTGAGAGCTGCCACCATGCATATTTAAACTCGACAGTGTTTGCTCGCTGTTGGTGGGACCTGAACAACGCATATAAATGTCACCTTTGTAACAAGTGGTGTTGCCAGCTATTGTAATGGCCTGAAGACCAAACCCATTTGACGGCACTTTAAGGGGAAACTATTTGACTCACCGCAGTGCCCGGCTAGAACCACATCGTAAAAGTGCAGTTAGCGAAAGAAAGCTGCAGCACCGGCGCGTAGTTTTGCCGTCTAAGGAGCATGTTGAGCTCGGACAAATGTCAAGACACACCGTTAGCCCATCGGACTCGAACTTCGGACAGGAACACCAGCAATGGGAAGCGTCTCGGCATCCGTGGCGGCGCCATGGGACATCTGTACTTGCAGCGATAGGGCAGGAACACCAGCAATGGGAAGCGTCTCGGCATCCGTGGCGGCGCCATGGGACATTGTATTGGATGGGAAGCGTCTCGGCATCCGTGGCGGCGCTACGGGACATCTGTATTCGCAGCGATAGGGCAGGAACACCAGCAATGGGAAGCATCTCAACATCCGTGGCAGCGCCACGTGACCTCTGTATTCGCAACGTTATTGCGCGAGGTGCCGTGCAGCGTTGTCATGGCCTGTCCGAAAGTGAAATGATGTAGCTGACGCGATTAGTCGCAAACCAAGTAAATTATGGCAGTATTCTGCTATTTAGAACACACGACTCTGGAAAAGCATAAGGTTAATGGTTTCGAACGAACGTCGCGTCAGAAATAACCTTGACATTCAATTCTAGTCAACAGACTATTGACCCGTTTAATACTTTAAGGTGTTTAGAGCACTAAAACACAGGCTGGGATCCTGAAAGTCCTTTTTGGAAGGAATATGAAGTTAGATATGGAGCCTCTTTGAACTGAAGAATTTCCTGAGGGGACTCAGATCAAATGGTTCAAACCACCAGTCATCCAAGCAGCCATTCTCGAAGCGAACTAGCTTAGCTCCAATTCGTCAAGCCCGGCTCCACTTGTACCGACATGTACCACCGCCGCTGGAGCCGTATGTGGCGATCCTCAGCTCAGTGTCCGGCTGTGCCCGCCTCTAACGGTAGGCCGTGACCCGCTGGCGACCCCCCCCCCCTCCTCGCGCGCCAGTCAGGGGCCGCTACTACGGTCCTGTCGGCAGCAGCCCCACACGCCGGGCGGCCTCCCACGGTCATGCCAGGGACCGGTGGCCGCGTTCGGCGCCTCGCCGCGGTCGGGATAGCCGGCGTGTCGTGTGCCGTCCCGGCTGAGGGATTTCCCCGCTGTGTGCCGTGCAGGGAGGGGAGGGGCGGGCCGGTGACGCCGCTGGTACGCCGGTTCCGGCGGCCGGTGTTGACTCTGGCCGCCGCCCGGGCCGCCGCGTCACCGGTCGCTCCGACGGCGCTGACCGCCAGGCGTCTCCCTGAGCTCCCGGGCCCGGCCCCGGCGTCACACCGACGTTCCGTTGTCGGCGTCGGGCCGGCCCCGGCGTCACTCAGATGCGCCGACATCGCTGTCAAGCCGGCCCGGCGTTACACCAACGCGCCAACATCGCTGTCGGGCCGGCCCCGGCGTCACTCAGATGCGCCGACATCGCTGTCGGGCCGGCCCGGCGTCACACCAACGCGCCGACATCGCCGTCGGGCCGGCCCCGGCGTCACACCAACGCGCCAATATCGCCGTCGGGCCGGCCCCGGCGTCACACCAACGCGCCAACATCGCTGTCGGGCCGGCCCCGGCGTCACACGAACGCTCCGACATCGCCGGCGGACTCGACGCCCGGTGCACCGTCCCGAAGCACAGACCACCACTGTCTCTCGACGACTGTCCTGCCAGATGTCCCGTTACTGGCTTGGCCTTGGGTTCGATACTGTCCTGTTTATTTCCCCAGCACCGCTCGGTCACTAGGACGAGTGCCCAACACTGTGAGTGTCCCACGGTTGTACGCTGCCGCTTCCCACGGTCCGACAGCGGTCTTCTGTCACGTGGCGCGATCCTGCACGCGGCCCAGCACTGACTTCATTTGGTCACTCCGGAGTTTTGTCGTCACTGCTGGTATGCGCGAGTCAGGACAAGTTTTCTGCGGCAATGTATGGGATGCTGCGTTCTCCACAGATATTGTCTCTATGCTCAGTCCTAATTATCTTCCGTTGAAAACATTGAAAGTCCGGCAGGAGTTTAGAGGCATTTGCGCTTGAGCTCCACCGTCGCCCACGGGTACCTGTCACCCGGTCCACCTGTCCAGGTGTTCAGTCTATATACGCCTTCCGCCGCTACCTGTCGGCGCTGGTTGCAGCCCGCGGTCTGACGCTGGCCGCTGCCTCCGCCGCCGGCTGCCAGCGCTGGTCGCGGCTCGCGGTCTGACGCTGGCCGCGTACTCCCCGCCGACCCCTCCGCCGTCGTCTGCCGGCGCTGGTCGCGGCTCGCGGTCTGACGCTGGCCGCGTACTCCCCGCCGACACCCCCGCCGCCGTTTGCCGGCGCTGGTCGCGGCCCGCGGTCTGACGCTGGCCGCCCCCTCCCCGCCACCGTCTGCCGGCGCTGGTCGCGGCCCGCGGTCTGACGCTGGCCGCCCCCTCCCCGCCGCCGTCTGCCGGCGCTGGTCGCGGCCCGCGGTCTGACGCTGGCCGCCCCCTCCCCGCCGACCCCGCCGCCCCCGCTGAGTCAGCTGACTCGCGCCGCCGCGGCCCGAGCGAGTGGGCCGGACCGGCCGCCAGCCGGCTTCGATTCAAACGGCGGCCGACAGTCGGCTCTGGAGACGCGCGGTGCTCGTGTGGCGCCCGGTCCGCCGCCTCGAGCCAGCATGACGCGCAAGTCCGCCATCCGCCGGTTCACGGCGCTCTACAAGCGGGGCAAGGATCGCCAGGGGTGAGTGGACGACCTTGAGACTCGTGGAGGGGTCGGAAACCCTGCCCCGCTGTTTTTCACGGGTGGAGATGTTTGGCCAGGAGCGCCTGCGCCCTTTGCTCTCACAGCCGGACTGGTCTCGCAAGCCCATTCATCCAGTTTATGAACCGAAAGTAGCAGAGTTGGGAAATTTATGATGCCCTTTAGATCAGGAAAATGTGGGTTGACCGATGTCGCGGTTTCTACAGCATACATTTGGGCCGCCGGCGTCATCTGCCGTGGCTGGCTGCTCCCAAGGACAGCGTTGTCGCATTAAGGACTGATCGGGCTGTTGGCGTCAATGCACTTCATACACGCTTGATGTGGTCTACCTATATGTATGATAAACGCCCACGAATACGTTTGTTTCGTATACTTAGTTTCTGGCGTAGCGGGATATACATCGAACAAAGTAGTGCTAGTTTAAGCGCAAGGACAGGAAAGTACCGCTTCGGTCCAGTTCCAAAGGGTGTTTGTTATCTTTGGTTTACGCGGGTTTGCCTCGCCTCTCTTCAAGCCTCGGCTTGGAGAAAAGGGCATGGGGGTATTCACGCCTGCATCGCTTTTACATGCCACATGCCTAAGAAGCGCGACTAGCGACATGTCTCAATGACTCGTGTTGTTACGCATGGCGTAATTCAGAAAAAACGCACGCGTGAACGTGAGCTTTTTGCCTGCGCGTGTGCTGCCTTCAAACAAGTGCGTAGAGAAGCGCGGACCATGCCATCTACATATATGCGGAACCCCGCACCGGCGTAGCGACTCAGCAAATGGACAGGAAAATGCATGTCTGTCTTACCCGTCAGGTGGCACAGGGCCGTGCATTGCCTGAAATGTCTGCGGTAGTGTTCTACCGTTGGTGAGATGCCGCTGGCAGGCGCGCTTTTCGTGATATCTGTGGTGAGACAGCGCTATTTTGTTCTTCACAGTAAATAGTAACATACCTTGTCCATCATGCAGTGATACGGGCTATTGAAAAACACGTTTGTTCGAACATATGTCCGCAAATAAGCGCGCTCGTGCAACTTCTGATAACTCTCTGCTCCGAGTTGCGGCAGCTCTCTGTGTTCGTCCTTCTCACGTAAGCTTGGAAGAACGGAATGCAATTCCTCTCCTGAAAAGAAAACGGCCAATTGAGTTA